GTTGCGGTGAAAATTTACTAGACAGAGAAATATTTACTCGTACTTGCAGTAGTCTTTGTTGTAGGAAATCATTTATGATTAGAATCAGGTATATTGGTGTTTTCAAATCTATTTTTGTTAGTTGGGCCAACTTCACTGAGACAGGGCTCGTATGTTATTTAAGGGGCGGTGAGTAGATGTTTTCCCAAAGAGAATGGCAGAGCTTTTGTGGGGGGCTATATTCAAGCCATGATCTAGTAGCCAGTTGTTGATATGGTATAGGGTGTAGTTGATTGAATCCACGAGGGTATTGTCGTTGGGGCCAGAGCACAGGACGGCAAGGTCGTCGGCATATTGGATGATTTTACATTGAATGAAGGCGTTATGATGTAGTAGATTGGTGTATACATTGAAGAGGAGAGGGCTGAGGATTGAGCCTTGGGGGAGCCCGAGGGAGGCTGTGTTGGGACCGAGTTTATAGTCTTTGGCTTCTGGATCGAATATATATATATGTGTCTGTTTCCATAAAGTTTTCGAATTAGATCTGCTATATTTTTCGGAAAGTTAGATTCGGCGAGGAGAGGATAAAAGATGGGAAGAACTACGTTATCGAACGCTCCTGCGATGTCTAAGGTTGCTAGGATTGAGTGGTTCCCTTTTACGAGTTCGGTTTGTACAGTTGATGTTATAAAGGCTAGTGGATCCAATATACTTTTTCCTTTTCGGAACCCGAATTGAAAAGGGTATAGGATGTTTGTTGTTTCTAGGCAGTGTTCTAATCTGTTTTTTATAAGTGATTCGAGTAGTTTTAGTACGCAGGAACTTAAGGATATAGGTCTGTAACTAGTTAGGTCCATGGGATTTTTTTTAGGTTTTCTTATGTTGTGGTTAAATATTATTAATTTTGATTTTATTGGGTTAGGTTTTAGTCTCCATCTATTGAACCATGTTGTAATACTGTCTACCGTCTTTTGTAGGCTTTTAATTAGTTTATTTTGGGTCTTCATGTGACAGACTAATGCTGTGTCATCAGCGTATTGTAGGATGTAGCTGCTTAAACTGGATTCCTTACACATATCATAGCAGTAAAGGTTATATAGTAGTGGGGAAAGTGGTGAGCCTTGCGGCACTCCTTGTTGCGGTGAAAATTTACTAGACAGAGAAATATTTACTCGTACTTGCAGTAGTCTTTGTTGTAGGAAATCATTTATGATTAGAATCAGGTATATTGGTGTTTTCATTTTGTGCAGGGTGAAAAGTAGGTAGGCCATACGCTATCAAACGCTTTATTTGTGTCAAGAAACAGGGCAGCTGATTTCATTTTCTTTAATTTGTTTGCTTGTATGTTTAAGCTGAGGATGGTTATAGGGTGTATGGTTGACCGATTCTTTCTAAATCCGAATTGGTGTTTGGGAATGAAATTATCCGTTGCTTTCTCTAATCTGTCTTTTATGATCATCTCCAGGTTTTTTGATAGTGTTGATAGTAATGTGACTGGTCTGTAGTTTTTGGATAATTTGTGGCTTGCTTGTGCTTTGGGGACGGGTGTTATTATACCCTTTTTCCACTCTATTGGAAATTATAAGTTATTCAGGCAAAACTATTTTAAATAATCAAAACTATTTAATCAATAGAAAAATTCATGTTTAAGTTTTGCTAGGATTATATAATTAAATATTTAATAAATAAATAAATTTAACAAATGGGTTATAAATACTCAAAAACAAGTTTTTTTGCGCCACCTTACATAAACTGATTTAAAGTGTTTTAATAGTCGACGCACCTTATTGAAATTTAAAAAAAAAAACAAAAAAAATATTTGGGTATTCGAATATTTGAGGATTCGACTATTCAAATATTTAAGTATTAAAACATTCAAATAATTTATAATCAATTTCCACCTCTATTCAAATACTTGAATATTCGAATTATTCATAATCGATTCCCAGCCTTAGATTTTACCCTCCACCCACGGATTTCTACGGATATTTAACGATAGAATTCAGGATTTTTAAAATGAAAAGGTTGGAAATACTGATTCAAACTAAAGTTATGCTGAACATTATCATAACCCAGTAAACACAATTACGTAAATATGACGTAAATATGACGTCATGTCAAGTCACGCTTACGTAAGATATAGGTCACACTTGAGTCATACAAGAGTCATTATTTCACACTTTCTTACGTCAGACTCTGACGTAAACATCTTGATGTAACACTGACATCATACTATTACATAATATTTACGTAATAAATGTGACATAAATATGACCTCCTTATTTTTCATCATGGGGCAAAATAAGTAAATACTGAAACAGCTCACTTGGCTGAACGTTAAATGAGTGAAATTGTGGGTTCGCGGCTTTGGCCTTGCAAAGCAGGCACTGTTTAAGAGGGCCACGGAAATTTCATGACGATCCAGACGGAACAATCCTGGCTCCAACAAAGAATTCCACTGAAAAAGCTAAATTATCGTAAGGCCACAATTCGTGACTCGTTTATTTGCCGAGGTTCGGATTCCTAAATCTCAAATTGCAATGCAGCCAGTGTCAACTTATATACTTAACGAATAGTGCCACATAAGCGAGATGTATTATGCAATAATGGTTGCCTATGATAAGTAAATTTCTACTATATTATAGTAGATGCCTACTTATCATAGGCAACCTTACTGCATATTGCAACTGTTAACAATTAATATATCAATGTTATTTGACAACTTTACCCTTATATATTATAATATTATTATAAAAATTTTTTATCAATGAAAAATTCTTTAATAGTTTACATATATTTTTAAAAATCTCTTGGTTTCTTAATTATTAATACTAAATATTCTGTGTACTTAAATAATTTCGTTTGTCAATTTCATTTCTTTTATTTATTATTTTTTAAATTTTAAAAATATACTAATACCAACATTATTGTGCAAATACCTATCTATTATTATAGGTATTATATTAATATACAATTATACCATATTATATTATAATATTAAATTCTTTAAATTTGGTTGTATTATTTTTTATAGTTTTATTTTTTGAACCTCTGTATTTGGAAATTGAAATTTTAGTATGTTAAACAAGGCATTAAATATATAGGTACTACCAGAGACAAGGGTACTCTGGGTACTACTTTTTGACTTAAACCAATTTTGAAAATTTTCTAAAATGGCGTCGTACTGTCAAAAGGTCACATTTTTTTCAATGGAATCATTACCGAAAAGGTATTTATTGCAAGCTGAAACTTTATCTAATTTATGAAGCTGATCAAAACCAACTCACAATGGATTTTGAACCAACTACTAATTTTTCAGATTCTTTACAGGGTATGTCAGAAGTAAGAACAAAAAAAAATCGCTTTTTATGAGTAGCTATAGCTATAGCTAGGGACAATATTCAACATTTAAAAATTATTTTTATTTTAGAAATTTAAAATTTTAGTATTTTAATAGGTACCTAACATTTTTTGACATGCATGGATTTAAAAAAAATAAATGACGTCGTACTGCCAAGGTCACATTTAAAAAAATTTGAAGTGAGTGAAATATCATTTCAGGTCTTTGAAAGCGTAACTACTTATTTTTTCGATTGTACAGGGTGGAACAAAAAAATTCCACTTTCACCAAAAGCGCCATTTTCAAAAAATAATAACAGTAACATACAATACAAAAATAACAAGTTAACACGTAATAACACGTAAATCTTTTGTTGATAATTTTTTACAATTTAAAAAATAAGTAGGTACTTGCAAGTACTTGCAACCATGATTAATCATACCTACATGATTTTTCACATGACCATTGAATAAAATGTGTACTTTTGAAAGTACGACGCTATTTTCAAAATTTTTTACGTCATAAAGCAGTAGGAACCGGAATCATAAAAATCTATAATATATTATGATGGTTATTACATATTAAATTAAGATACATTATTTTTTGATTGGTTTTAAACCATATTTTCATTTAATCGACCAAGTACTATATTTTTTGGCTACTTATAAGTAGCCAAAAAATTCAAGGAACTTCGCGTTATTTCTTTCATCATGCTAGATGCAAAAGTAATTTTAAAATATGAAATTTGGTGTATTTTAATGTTTGAATTAAACTCATTGGTAAGGAAAAGTATACTGGATATATCCACTGATTTTATTGTTTAAAATAATCGGCGTCAATTTCAATTAATAGAATTTACTTACGTTATTTTACTCAATGTTTGAATTAACCATTTCAATCAATAAAAAATAAAAATTATGTTTGACTATTTCACTCATTGAAAATAAAAGTCCATTCATTGAAATTAGTTTAATTCAAACATTAAAATACAGTGAATTTCATACTTTGAAATTACTTTTGCATCTAGTTCGTCTAAATAATATGTATGGCAGATTTCTTATGTCAGTCTTACCTTACAAAGTGACCTTAAACTTATGTAATGGTATGACAGATTTCTTACGTCAGTCTTACGTAAGAAAGTGACCTAAAACGTATGTAATAGTATGACGTATTTCTTACGTCAGCCTTACGTAAGAAAGTGACCTTACACTTAGGTAATATTATGACAGATTTATTACGTCAGTCTTACGTAAGACAGTGACCTAAAAGTTATGTAATATTATGACAGATTTCTTATGTCAGTCTTACGTAAGAAAAGTGACTTTAATATTACGTCACGATATGACTTTAATATTACATAAGATGTACGTAATATGTAAGTCATTTAATTACATCATATAAAAGTCACGTTTTGGGTCAGTATTATGTCACTATGACGTAAAAATTGTATTACCTAGATATGATCTACGTGTTACGTAAATTTTAGGTCATAAGTCACGGTTTGGTTCACTGGGAACTTAAAAAAAAATAATGAACAATATTTCACATTTTAATTCATAAATCAAATTTAAAAAATGCAGCAGTTGTGTACTACAAAAAGTCAGTTTTCAATATGATAATATGGTAAATAGGTATTTAACAAAATTTCACAACATTGTGTTATAAATGGAAAAATACATACCTGGCAAACATTGGTTAACAAAATCTTGTGGTTTTATAATATTAAAAGCCTCTTTAAAAAACCATATCTCTTTAACTATTTTACTAACATATACATCATTTCCTTCCTTTAAAATTTTAAGCAATTCTGTCGTCCTGCGTAAATAAATAAGAGTATCAATATAAAAAAGATGTTCCAAATAATTTTTGGGAACCAAATTTTTTAGAATCTCATCCTGATTTTGTTTAAAACCATCTTGTTTAAGTAAAAGGAATAAATTTTTCTTGCGTTCTCCTACTGTTTTGCCTTGTAAATTCTCAAAAAGTTTAACAAATTCTGCCATAACTTTAATTGTTGATTCAATGAGCACTATAATCTAAAATAACATATTTATTATAATTAACTACTAAATATGGATATAATTACTAGATGGGTTGGGTTATCTTACTTAAGTGTGTTATTTCATTAATTAAAACAAATTTACAATATAAAATACCTAAATTGTTTTTATTTACCTATCCAGCCAGTATAAATATCAGAAACATACATATACTTTGTACTCCAATGTTTTTTATCAATATAAAAATGTGTAATTATTATTCACAGAAATACCAGAACTAAAAATAAATATGATTAATATTTATTATGGATAACAGCGGTGGCCAGTATTAAATAATATATGCACTTCATAAAAATTTAAGAATTTATACCAAATTGTTCTAAGCAAATTAATATTTTTTTTGTTGATAAAAAAAATTACAGAATCCTGCCAAATATATAAATTTTTTTTGGATAAATAAGTTTGGTTAGGTGTGAATTTTAACCAAAGATTTAAACCATGGACCATTATACAAGAAAAATATGTGATCATGGCATGAACCAATAACTTCTTGGCAAGAAGACTAAATCAGGAGGATAGCAGACCATGGCCCAAAGAACCATGGCCTGTGCAAATGGCAACACCGCATATAGAAGATTTTAACCTAAAAACATTAAATAAATACAAGAAGTCTTCTTCATTAAAAATATTCTGTTATGAAACTAGTTTCAACAATATTTAAATATTTAGAAAAACGAAGCTTATACACTACTTCAACAATGGCAAAAAGTAAGTTTGAATACGTAAAAAATTTTGAATGTGATGAGAACCTGTTGCCAAATTGTTGGATTGTTGTTAGAGTGGATGGAAAATCCTTTCATAAATTCACCACTAAACACAGTTTTAAAAAACCCAATGATAGTCAAGCTTTATGGCTAATGAATAAAGCAGCAAGTGTTGTTATGGATGAATTTAAAGATATTTTATTATCTTATGGACAAAGCGATGAATATTCTTTTGTATTAAGAAAAGATTCTATGTTATACAACAGAAGGAAAACCAAGATTATGACTTATATAAACAGTTTGTTTTCTTCTGCATATGTCTTTTTTTGGAATGAATACTTCCCTGATGTTAAATTAAAGTACCCTCCATCATTTGATTCTCGAGTGGTGCTATATCCATCTGATGAAAATTTGAGAGATTATTTAAGCTGGAGACAAGCTGATTGTCATATAAACAACCTCTATAATACAGTATTTTGGGCTCTTGTTCAAAAAGGACATCTTACAAATACAGAAGCTGAACAGAGATTATGTGGCACATTTTCAAGCGACAAAAATGAAATTTTGTTTACTGAATTTAATACAAACTACAATAATGAACCACTTATGTACAGAAAAGGGACAATTTTAATAAGAAAAAAAATTAAAAGCCCCAAAAGTGGTAAAAACAAGATAATAATTTTACCTTTACATGAGGATTTAATACAAGATCAATTCTGGAAAAAAAATTTCGAAATTTTAGAAATTCAGGCAACTCAGTTTTATGATTGGCCACCAGAACTAGAAATTCCTGAGTTTGTTAAAAAACAATTTAAAATTGAAACCAACTGAAAAATGTTAATAACGTTATGTTTTAATATAAATTTTTATGATATTGATTTTTTTATTCTTAATAATACATAGAATGTACTATAGGAGTTTTCGGAAACCTTCTCTTACTACTTACCTATGTAGGTACTATGTAGTATGTGGGATATTGTAAAATAAAAAATAGTCTACCCACAATCCACACAACAAGGTCTGTTCTATCTCATGCTAAAAATAATAAAAATCACTGCACAGAGTTTAACGGCGGCCATTTTTGTTGTTTACAATTCTTGTGCTTTGGGTTTGTGCTGTTTAATAATTGTTTTAAACGTTGTGTTTCTTACAGAGGCACTTGTAAGCCTCAAATAAGGCCTTTAAGTGCTAAGGCCAACCATTTTACTCCTCTTTTATAATAAATATACCTTATTCTATCAGGGCTGTCAAATGACAATTTGAAGGTAATTTGTGGGTTATAATTTACGCTGTGTCTAGTCTCACGCTAGCGTGAACGCAATTTTATTCTTATTCTCACGCGGTGACGTCACTAATTATAATCCGTTTTTGTTCCCAGAGCGTTTAATATTTGACAACAAGCTAAATGGCTCCGATGGTAGGGCGGGCGCTTGGCATGCGAGAGGTCCCGGGTTCGATTCTAAGAACTTTTTTTATTTCATAAATTTGTTGTTTCTTTGTTAAACAGTGTTCGGTTGGGTTGGGTTGGTTAATTTGTTTTAGTTTTATCCATAGATGACCGAAGGTTTTATCGTAACATAAAATCTACCAGAAGTTGTCGAACTTTTTTTATTTCATAAATTTGTTGTTCCTTTGTTAAAGTGTTTTATTTTTATCGTAACATAAATTTGCCCACAATTGTGTGGATTCTGAATTTGCCCATTTTAGTTGGGTCACCCAACTTGGGTGTTTTGCTCAATGGGGCGGGGGGGGGGGGGGCAATGGGGCGGGGTCGGTTGGGTTGTGTTGTTGAGTTTGGGTTGGTTTGGCTGCAGTAAAAGAGTCGATTTTATTATTAATAAATTTTATTACATTTGCATAATCAAATCAAATGACATAATCAAATAATAATCAAATCAAATGACACGACACCTAAAAAGTAAAATTAAATAAATTAATGCGTGAGAATAAAATTAAAATTATTTTGACTTTAGCGTGAAAAGCATAGAAAAAGAATGGCGACCACTGTGTTAAACTTAAGACCACTGTGTTAAACTTAAGAAACACAAACGTCATAAACGCCTGCCAATTAGGGCCGTACTCCAAATATTTTATTAACTTTTATACTACAGGGCCAGCTTTATCTATTTTGTATATATTAAATATTAATATTAATTTATTTAAATTTGACCAATAAAATAAAATAGTAGCAAAGATTTATTTATTTTAAAAAGTAAATGGTTATAATACACTAATTTTAACAATAAAATAAATTAAAGAATATACAAACAGTGCATCTGTATTTTGAATGGGTTCAAAAAAAAAACTAATCGTAATAAATTACATCCAAATTAATTATTTAATAGGTATGTCAATCTCCAAAAAAACATTATAAAAGCAACTGATTTATTGTATATACTTACTGTAACTTCAAGGGAAACCAATACAGATGAAAAAACTCAAAAAATACTTAAAAGCTTAGAAATAGATCTTTACCGTTATCAATATTCTTTCTATTGTTGACAGATGTCAAAACTGACAATTAAAATAATTATTAAAAAAGATGACTTAAGCCACAAAAAGAAAATATGGCAACGTTGCTCGGGAGGCGCTTGTTGCGCATATTCCTATATTAGTTTCACCCCCCTGGTGAAAAGACTAGACACAGCGTATAATTTAACGAAGTGTATACGTACAGAGGCGCCTCTGTAGATAAAGTTACGGTTATGTACAGAGGCAGATTAACTATCGTCTAGGCACCGAATTATCTTGACTCCCTGGCACCTAGAGATGCGCGTTTTATAGAAATGTACTCAAACTCAACAACACAACCCAACCGACCCCGCCCCAACTAAAATGGGCAAATTTATGTTACGATAAAAATAAAACACTTTTTAATTACATAAATTATCCCATTTTAGTTGGTTTTTTTGCTCAATGGGGCGGGGGGGGCCCAATGGGGCGGGGTCGGTTGGGTTGTGTTGTTGAGTTTGAGTACATTTCTATAAAACGCGCATGTCTAGGAGCCAGGGAGCCAAGATAATTCGGTGCCTCTAGACGCTAGCATTTCAAATATATGGTACCTAATGTTTGAAAATAAAATGAATTTAAACCATATAACACTATAGTATACTTAATACAAGTCAACGCGTCTCTGTATATTGATATTTTTTACAGGGACGCCTCTGTACATAACCGTAACTTTATCAACAGAGGCGCCTCTGTACATAACCGTAACTTTATCTACAGAGGCGCCTCTGTACATATAGTAAATTTAATATAGTAAATTTAAAAGTAAACTACGTACACGTCATCAATCAGCTGATCGGGCACGGTTGTCAATGTGATGCTAAAATCCTTGCATCAAGGGAAAGTGGTAGTGCAACTACAGGGCGGTAGATGGCGTTTACATGAATAATACCAAAATGTCAAAAGTCTGAGTTTTTATAACCTATATGATGCACCGCCAAAAGTATGTTTTTAGCCATTTTTAAAGACATTTTCTGATATAAAACCCAAAAATTTTGCCATCTAAAGTCAGTCACTGATATATATATTATTATTTCATGTATCCAACATATATTTTGTTAAATATTCTAATATATAATTAATAATAATCCTATTTACCTCTCTAACAGCTGTAAAAGGTAACAAAGGTCCATTATTATCCCGTTCTGCTTCAAAATAGCGTATTAAGGATGACACCAACTCTTGACTCCGACTATTTAAATGTTTCGGCATTTTAAATATAGGAAACACAAAAAAACGATATATAACAAACACAAAAACGGCAATGAGAACTTAAAACGATATAAAATAACACAAACAACAAACAAAATAAACGAAATAATACACGAATTAAATGAAATATTCAAAAACACAACTGACAGCTTCGAAATTCTAAAACGTCAAATTCTTTTTTATGTGTCATTTAAATATGAAAAATTTGAATGTAAACATGACAACATCACAATTGTTGCCAACTTAATTTGGTTAAAATGCATTCAAATATTCAATTACAGACTCCGATTTAGTCATTTAGTGTTGGTACCAATGCGTACAATTTTTGTTTTATTGATGACGTGTACGCAGTTTACTTTTAAATTTACTATAGTAAACTACGTACACGTCATCAATCAGCTGATCGGGCACGGTTGTCAATGTGATGCTAAAATCCTTGCATCAAGGGAAAGTGGTAGTGCAACTACAGGGCGATAGATGGCGTTTACATGAATAATACCAAAATGTCAAAAGTCTGAGTTTTTATAACCTATATGATGCACCGCCAAAAGTGTGTTTTAAGCCATTTTTAAAGACATTTTCTGATATAAAACCCAAAAATTTTGCCATCTAAAGTCAGTCTCTGGTATATATATTATTATTTCATGTACCCAACATATATTTTGTTAAATATTCTAATATATAATTAATAATAATCCTATTTACCTCTCTAACAGCTGTTAAAGGTAACAAAGGTCCATTATTATCCCGTTCTGTCTCAAAATAGCGTATTAAGGATGACACCAACTCTTGACTCCGACTATTTAAATGCTTCGGCATTTTAAATATAGGAAACACAAAAAAACGATATATAACAAACACAAAAACGGCAATGAAAACTTAAACGATATAAAATAACACAAACAACAAACAAAATACACGAAATAATACACGAATTAAACGAAATATTCAAAAACACAACTGACAGCTTCGAAATTCTAAAACGTCAAATTCTTTTTTATGTGTCATTTAAATATGAAAAATTTGAATGTAAACATGACAACATCACAATTGTTGCCAACTTAATTTGGTTAAAATGCATTCAAATATTCAATTACAGACTTCGATTTAGTCATTTAGTGTTGGTACCAATGCGTAAAATTTTTGTTTTATTGATGACGTGTACGTAGTTTACTTTTAAATTTACTATATACACTTCGATAATTTAACCTTAAAATTGACATTTGACAGTTTTATGACAGCCCTGACAGAATAAATTTATAATTTATAAATAAATAAACTTAAGTTTATTTTTACAATAGAGTAGTAAAATGGTTGTTCTTAGCACTTTAAGGAGTCTTTTAAGGCTTACTATGAGAAACACAACGTTTAAAACGATTATTATTCTGTATATTATATAAACAGCACAAACTCAAAACACAAAAATTGTAAACAACAAAAATGGCCGCCGTTAAACTGTGCAGTGTTGCAGTGATTTTTTGTATTTTTAGTACGAGATAGAACAGACCTTGTTGTGTGGATTGTGAGTCTACCTATCGATAATTAATTTTCTGTTTTAACAAATTATCATTTATGTTGCGATAAAAATAAAACACTTTAACAAAGGAACAACAAATTTATGAAATAAAAAAAGTTCGACAACTTCTAGTAGATTTTATGTTACGATAAAACTAAAACAAACCAACGAACCCAAGCCAACCGAACACTGTTTAACAAAGAAACAACAAATTTATGAAATAAAAAAAGTTCTAAGTATCGAACCCGGGACCTCTCGCATGCCAAGCGCCCGCCCTACCATCGGAGCCATCTAGTTTGTTGTCAAATATTAAACGCTCGGGGAACAAAAATGGATTATAATTATGACGTAATTGGCGGTGTAGAAGCAATAGCGTAATTTTTATTTAAATAAAGAGAAAAAAATCTAAAACTTTAAAACGTACTGAAACCATCAACGAGGTACTTGCGTACTTTTTTTAATTCGAATTCGGTACAAAAGTACTGTCGCTGGCAACACTGGTCGCTATCTAACTTGAAAACTCTCCAAGAACAAAAAATCACCAGAAATGGTGAAAAATTCTCCAAGATGGCAACCTTGCCCATTAATTTAGCCAATCTAATAAAAAAAAAAGTTAGTTTGGGCTACCGTTCGTGAATTGATCATATGCAAGGAATGCGGTCGATGTTGCCAATGGTAAAAAAATAAAATTCCCTATTGGGAACATTCAATTATATTACGTTGGCTACACTGAAATTTTGAATTTCCCGCACAAACTGACATACATTCTAGTAGTTCCCAGAAATAAAGAAGGTAGTTCCAATGTTGTATAATAAATTAAGGTGCGAATTTCAAATGTGGGAATTAAAAAAAAAGATGGAAATTAATTTAGTTTGTGCGGGAAATTCAAATTTTCAATGTAGCCAACGTAATATAATTGAATGTTCCCAATAGGGAATTTTATTTTTTTACCATTGGCAACATCGACCGCATTCCTTGCATATGGTCAATTGACTGTTGTTGGCAACACTTTAGGATACATGTTTCTTGGTATAGTGGCAACACTGAGCAAAAAAAATCCCGATTGGACTCGAACATAGAAACATAGAAACCATAAAAACTGTCATCTTGTAAAGTTTTGTAATCGAGTACAATGGCTTTTATAAAAGTTGTGAAACTTGCAAATATTAAGGTATTCTTTAATTTTGATATCTGCTTATTTATATTTACTCGGTGTTTGGTATCAGACTTGTTAAATATCGCTAGTTAATTGCGTTTTATTATTGAAAAAGTTAATTTTTTATAAAGTTAACGAGCGACAGCAGCTGCTGTTGCAACTAGTACGTTTGCATAAAAATGTTGACCTATTAGTACTAATTTAGTAGTGTGCATCCAATCTTGTTGCCAAATATTATTGTTTTTACTATTTATTGGCACCTAATCCAACTGACGTTTTATCATATGATCGTTTTTGTTTACAGCTTTGCAAAATGGCCAAGGCATATTCTTAGAAACAATATAATTTTATATTATCTTAGTTTAAGGATAGTTTTTGTACGGTTTTAAAATAAGAAAGGTATTACTATAAGAAAATCTTCATAATGGCAACACAAGAAGATAGATCACTGTCATCAGGTGTATCTTTTCCCAAGTGGATGAAAAGCAAAATTAACGACAAGTAAGTTTTAAATACATTTTTAGGCTTAATTATTTTTTTGTAATCACTATATCGATGACTCTGCCAAAGTATCTCCAGCAACATTACTCAAATTTCATGAGTTTTAACATTTTTTGTTTTGAAGTCTGTTTTAAATTATGTACCTCAATATATCCTATAGGTTTTATAACAAGTAAATAGATAGATAGATAGATAGATAGATAGCTTTATTTCATAGTAATTGCCAATTTACATTGGATAGCTATTATAATAATTAGCTTTAAAACAAAACTATTGAAATTCTTGAAATTTGAGGTGGGTATATTCATTGCAATAATTTGCCAACAAGTTATCAATATTACTTAGTTAAGTTAGTAATAATATTACTTTTATAGTAACACTCCAATGATGGCCCTGAATATGTGTAAAACTTTGCTAGGAAACAGTATTTTTAATTAAAATTGATTTGCTTCACTTGCATAACCACTTGCATTTAAATAATAAATGTTTGTTTTGCTAAAATTAATATTTTTAACTTGCTGATAAGAAATATTTTAATGATATAGAAACAGGTTAAATCAATAAACAAAATAAGTCTAATCCATTTTATTTTACACATGTTCTTAATATTTTTAACACATTATAATGCACAGGCCCGTTCCTGGGGTGTCTGGCGCCTGCGTGCGGCATTCGTTGGTGCGCCCCTTTTATATTTAAATAAAATACATTAAATATTTGAATTTTAAGCCGTAAAATTTAAAAAATATATATTTTGCGACAAACTGGCAATATGTAATTGAAAATGTAAAAAAACTGCTTAAGTAAATTAAGTATAAAAATATTTATTAAATTACCTAACAAGCAGAGCTGCAACAAGTCAGTTTTAAAAAGACTTAAATCTTAAGTCTTAAGTCAATTCTAAAATCAAAATGATTTAAATCTTAAGTCAATTCTAAGATAAAGTTCAAATGATTTAAGTATTAAGTCTTTGAATTAAATCATTTTCTTTTAAGTCAAGTCATTTTCGCAAATTCTTAAATCAATATAAAGTGATTTAAGTCATCTTATGACTTGGTAAGTCGTTTTTATGACTTAAGTCTATATTTTTTATATAAATCGTGGTCTAAGAGTTAAGTCAATAAAATGACTTGAATCAAAAATTGTGATTTAAATCAAAATAATTACCCTTAAGTCAATACAACGATTTTTTAAATGTTAATATTAATTTTATGGTATTAATTATACTGATATTATCTATTATCTATTGTAGATACAGTTGATAATAAACCACTATGTTAAGAATTTAAAACGATTTATTTTCAGAACACTTACAAATAAAATAAAAACTTAAGACACATTTTTTGAGTATATAGTAGACAATAAAAATAAAAACTTAAACCACCTTTTTTGGTAGAGTAGACATACAGGGAGGCTACTTTTTTATATACATAAATGGGTAACTTCTAAACGGTAATAGATTCAAACTCTGTTAAAATAGATAAAAGTTGAAGCATTTTTCTTAAAATCGCTGTATTTCAAAAACTGATAACTTGTTGTTTTGTTAACTTTTGTTAGCTGGTTCAACATCCATCTAGAAAAAAAATATTCCTCTCTTAAGGGAGTAATGATGGGAAGTTCCAAACTCTCGATTCCCGACCGCTAAAGATGTACGACTGCTCACGACTGTAATAATTCAAGACTACTCACGTTCACGCACAATCACGTTTGAATAATTTTATTCATGCACAATCACGTTTTTTTGTCGTAATTATTTATTTAAATAAACCGAAACATCCTGTATGATATAAACACGTCTTTATAATATTTATTCGTCCTTACAAGTTAATCGTTTGTTTCCACTTTGCACTAATAATCACACATTAGAACTAACTTCGCACGAACACGACGAATGTTGGCAAACAAAATAACAAAATTATAAATCCCCACTTTTTTTAAGTCATTTTAGACAGGACATTTTTTAATGTAGCCGTCAAACGGTTCCGAAAAGCTAACTTTACCGCGGCGGCTTTTTTATCCACTAGCGGTAGCAATTGTAGGTAGGAAATTAAAGGTATGTTTTTGATCTGCTGCCGCGTGAACCCCTGGCAGTTCAAGAAAATGTCGCTGTAAAAAATTTATAAAAAAATCTATGAAAAATCTGACTTAAATATTTTCTAAAATGACTTAAATCTTTTTTTGACTTAAATCGTTTTTATCTGACTTAAATCGTATGTACTGATTTAAGCCTTTTATTAACGACTTAAGTTTTTTCTATTTTGAAAAAAAATATTTAAGTCACAAATCATTTTGAAAATTACTTAAATTTTAAGTCTTAAGTCAGTTTTAGAGAAATGACTTATTACCAAATGACTTAAGTCATTAAAACGATTTAAATAAAAAAAACGATTTAAGTTTTCTGATAGCTTGCAGCTCTGCTAACAAGTAAAATCATAAGGGCATCTATTTTTTCGAAAAAAATCGAAAAAACACGTTGTGTTTTAACGATTTGATTTTTTTTACAGGAAAAGTTAGATGCCCAAATGGTATTTGACAAGACTATTTCATGAGTAACAGTTAACAATTAAAATATAAATTGCAATTTTTGGTGACAACAGCTGTCAAGTTTTGCCGCGGGTAAACTCGAAAAAACTGCTGACAGGTGCTGTCATACAGTTTTTCCACCTAGAAACCATTTGTAGTTGAAAATTGCGCGTTTGTGATTGGTGGAAATTAAGACGAGGGAAATAGTCAGTGATAAAAATACTCTAAAGAAAACCATCTAAACAATATAATAACTACAACTGGTTTTTAGTGACGTACTCTCTAAAAATGACTAGTTTTCAAAGTAAAAAAGCAGTGACTAATAACTTTAGTCCACAGCAATTTGTATCCCGGGCATTTAACAGCTTATTATTATGTAAAATTGTCCCCTGAATCCGAAAATACCGTCAAAAATTATAAAAGTAGAGCAGTTTTTAAGATATAGTCAATACCATATTATATGGAAAATTTACTAAATCTCATAAACGTTCTACTTTTATAACTTTTGACGACATTTTCGGATTCAGCGGACAATTTTACATAGGAGTTGACTGCTAAATATCCGGGATACAAATTGCTATTGACAAAAATTATTAGTCGCTGCTTTTTCGCTATTGCAATTAGACTAATTGAATTAGTCATTTTTGACTAATTCTATTTTAGAGAGTTACTACTGTTAAACTTTGCTACTGTCAACTGCAACTATCAAACAAATACTAAAGATAATATGACCATTTCTCTCTTTATTTTGATCCTCATATCAAAACAAAATAAGCAGCCAATATCAAAGCGGCAAAAGGCGCTTTATAGCGACCGAAAAAAAGAGCGGCCGACGCAAAAAGGCAGAAACCTTTATCCAATGTATGTTTAAGTATCATATGCAAGAAAGTTTATCGTTACAAAGTACTGATTGACTCTTTGATTTTGCGCCCCCGAAATGTTGCGCCTGCGTGCGTGCACGCACTGCACGCTCGCCAGGAACGGGCCTGATAATGCATATATGCTTGCAAACATATTTTTTATTGTTTAGTTACCTACTTCACCCTAATTTTACAAAAATATTTTTAAATGCTGTTGAAATAATTGAAATTTATTCAGTGAATTTAAAAATGCACAAATGACAAAAACTTGTAACTTTAGGGTAAAAAATGGGCAACTTATAAAAAATAGGGTTTTACATTATAAACAAAATTTATTTTTGATATTGTACCAAACTTCACATTCTTAGTTAAATCCGGATAAATGCTACTCTAAACAATTCGTCAAGGGGCCTTTTAAGTATTACATAAGCAGATTTACTACAATTATTTAACCCCCTTCCCCCTTGTCAGCAAAAGTAATCAAAGCTCTTACCCTCTTTCTCTCCCATGCTTATGTAAACATTGGTATATGCATTTTTCTTTTCGTTTTTAAGCATAGACAATGTGTGGGTTGCCATATGTGTAAAAAAGTAAATAACTACTGCTGACGTAATTACCCTCTAGACCCCCCCCATTGCATTAAAAATAAGCAAAGGAAAGACCCCCCCGCCCCCCTATAGTGCTTACGTAATACCCCCAAGGTGCGAATCAGTTAGGCGACATCTATACGCATTTTTGCATCCGTAAAAAGGGACATTTTAAAAGATCGTTTATCTCTTATTAAAATAATGATAATCTCAAAAATCATTTTATGGTCGCTAGGTACTTTTCTAGAATCGCGTCCAATCTTAGAATACGAGGATTTAAAGATAAATTGATGCAAACAATGTCAGCAGCAAGTGCGCACAATTTTTTAGCGTTACAAAGTTATAGGGTAATATATTAATATATAATATATATTATAATTTTCAAAATTCTTCCTATACTTTTACTTCTTTTCTTCTTATTGAAATATTATTTTTAGATTTGAGTGTGTTTTAAATTCAATAAATTTATTCAATAACATTGCATTGTCAAATCTCAATACAAACGATTGACACAAGATTATCTGTGTCACACTAATGCCATACCACGTGATGGAGGTGTTATTTTAAGTATTTTTTTAGTGGTTTTTGTCTTATAAAAGATTTAAGTTTAAAAAAAACTGCAATGCCACGTTCCTATTCTGCTGGATATCACACATTTAAAAACCATGGTGGAAAAAAATAAGGCTTCTAGCTGCTAGCTGGCATTAAAATGGTTGTCGGATGCACAATCCACACAACAAGGTCTGTTCGATCTCATAGTAAAAATACTAAAAATCACTGCAACAATGCACTGGGTTTGTACAGATTAATACAAAAGAGTAGTAAAATGATTGTTCTTGAGGTCTCTTTTAAGGCTTGCAAGTCTCTCTGTAAGAAACACAACGTTTAAAACGATTATTAATCTGAACAAACCCAAAGCACAAGAATTGTAAACAACAAAAATGGCCGCCATCGTATAATGTGCAGTGTTGCAGTGATTATTCGTATTTTTACTAAGAGATCGAACATACCTTGTTGTGTGGATTGTGGTCGG